GAGTTATCCATCCATTAATGTGAATATTCGGTTGCTTTATAATAATTATAACCTCACTCTCCATTTTCACCCTGAAAAACTCTCTCTCTCTCTCTCTCATGTACATAATTATGTCAATTATGAATTATCCATGTAATTATGATTCTTATCATTTCCATATAACATGCCTAAGATTAAACAAATATATACGGAGTGGAGAGATAAATTATGTTTGAATCTATCTTTTTATCTTGGCCTTTATTATTTTCCCCTCCAAATAGAAACTACTGAATTCCATTTTAAAGGGAAGAATCTCAAATCACTGGCGTTAGTGAATCCTTGGTGATCATCATGATATGTGTTTACATTTGCCCAAGTTGACTTTTAGGGGAAAAAATGGTAACAATTCAGCCCTACTTACCTTAGCTTTTATAGGTTATTAACTCAGCCAAACTGTGATTTTGCGGGGCCAATATTTTACCCTAGGAGTGGAGGGGGAGTGAGATGGAGTTTTTTGGATAAAGTTCGGATGATTAGTCAACTAAACCGAACTCTACTAGTTAAAATATCTATCTCCGATTAAAAAGTTCTGAGTTTGAATTTCCACCCTTAAATATTGTACTAAAAAAGTTCGATGCGTGGGTTTAGTGTACTTCTTTTGAGCGTACTGATGAAGCTCATAACTTGACTAAAACCCTCCCCCGAACACTCTCTAACTAATTAGAAAATATTATTTGTTTGGGTTAAAATACTTGTTTGATCCCTATACTTTCAACTTTTGTTCATTTTGATCCTTATATTTCAAAAATGTTTATTATGGTCCATGCACTTTCAAAATTGGTCTATTTTAGTCACTGTACTTTCCAGAGCCATTCATTTTAATTTGGTTCCTATACTTAAAAAGAAAAGATCCATTTTATTTTTATCTCATTATTTTCTATCACAATTTCAACACGATATACTACACTCAATGAGATGTAATCATAACTTATATTAAAGGGTTTCTATTGTGTATAGGACTTATTTTGAAATTTTGCAAAACAGTGATCAAAATGATCATTTTTTAGAAGTACAGGGACAATAAAAAATATTTTGAGAACAAAACGAATATCTTGAAGATACAGGGGACCAAAATAAACTAAATTAGCTAAAAATACATGGACCAAAATAGTATTTTAACCTCATTGTTTCCACTTTTGACGGGTGAAGAAAAATAACTCAATGGTTTTAGAAGGATATAGAAGAGGCATAATAGGGCATGATCCTGATAAAGAGTGAAGAATAAAGAGAGAGTGAAATGTGTGATTTAATTTTATGCTTCAATTTGGCGCTTCCTAGGAATAGGATTGGTGCACGCATGCCAAGTTTACAAGACAAAGTAAAGTTGTTTGCAAGCATAATGCCAAATATATAATTACACCAAAAATGGGGCACGAGAGGGGTGGTGGGTCGCCCAATTCTAATTCCTCTCCAATTTTTTGTTTTTTTGCTTTTTTTTTCCTTCGTATCGTACCCCCAAAAACTCTCATAAAATATACTTATAGATATAATAGAGTGTAAAATATTATTGAGAATGCGACCAAAGTCTCATGTTGCTTAAATAAAGGGAGGATCATGAACATATATAAGTATTGATAAAATATACTTCTATTGGTACGGGATTTTTTGAGTGAAATCAAAAGTAAAATAGTGAGGGTTATGTCCAAAGCGGACAATATCATACCATTATGAAGATACTTAGCTTGGAGTAGTTGAGGTACCGTCCTTAACATAGAATAAGTAGGTTATGGGTGAGATTAAATTAAAAATAATTTATGTAGACCAACATGACTCAACTAGGCCGTATTACCAATTAAATAGTTATTGAAGGTGCATGTCGTATGAGATTGATATGAGTAGTCAAGTATCAACTTAAAATTAAGAATATGTATAGTCAATTTGATCCTAACTTAGAGGATAAGATATTTATTACCATACTAAAAGTTGATAGTTCAATTTTTATCCAGTAATATTGAACTAAAAAAACATTATGAAGCTATCGGGCCCTAGCCTGACCTAATGAGAGACAAGAAAAACTATTATCTAATAGAGGTATTCAGTGTTTGACCAGGTAAACTTTGAAGGAACTGAACAATTCAATCTCACATGGGAGGTTAAGTTTTTCCAAAAGAATCCTAACATGGTGTGTGATTGTAATTCCTAGAGAATCCTAACATGGTGTGTGACGGTAATTCCTAGGAAGAAAATAAAAAGTATAGTTAATTGGGTAATGGGGGAATTTGATTTTTCTTTTTAATGGTTAAAGTATATGTTTGGTTTTAACCATCACTTGTGTCTATTAGTCTCTTTTACTTAAATAAATAAAAAACAAAAAAAAATTAAAAGTCATAGGCCCTTGAACTTTGTCCCGAAGAGATAGCTTGGGCGATAATTTGAGGCATCAAAAAATAACTTTGAGGGATCGTGTATTTTGTGGGAATTAAAGATTCCCGTGAGACTAGCATTTGGATTCCCTCATTTGTTTTGCAGTAATGTAAGATATTCGGGTATCTCGAGATGTCCGGATATCCTAGGATGCTCATACGGGAGACATCTTACGAGTTTTGAATACCCTTTTGAAACATGGATTTCCAAGTCCACTTTTTACTTTTTTGCCCTTCATTTTTTTCTCCATATATTTTCTTTCATCAATTTTTTTTATTTTTTCCTTAAAAAATTCTTTATTTTTATTTTTAAATTTATAATTAAAATAAATTAATATACTCATCTTCTAATAAATAACTTTATGCTATTAAGTATATTTGTACATTAGATTTACATGTAAAATAGACTACAATTAAATTATATAATATCTCCATTTATTTTTAATATTGTGAAGAAATTACATTATTAATAATATTTATTATCATAAATGTATAATTGTAAAGCAACATTTTTTTTACATCCAAGATATAATGTGATGATAGGATAAATAAATTTCACTCCAGATAACATAAGTTATATAATTGTCCTTTTAAAAAACTATTAAAGTTGAAAATGAAACTTGTATTAAATTAATAATGAATTAATTTGTTTTACAAAATAAGATGTAAAAAATAAAAATATTAAATTAATTTAAATAAATCTATTATATTAAATGAATTTAGAAATTATATAAATATTTGTGTGGGCATCTTTTGAACATTCTATAAATTTAATACATTTCTAAAAAAGCAAAACAAACGTGGTTATCCAAATATTCTCAGATATCCTTAAAAATCTACCTACGAAACAAACGTGGTTATCTGAAGATGCCAGACATCTAAAATTCCGGGCATTTGAAATTTCATGCCTCTTTAGATATCGGTCATCTACATTCTTGAAAAACAAGGTTCAAGTCACATAAGATGCAACTTCCACTGAGCGTTGCGGCTGGAATCGGAGTAGATGGTATTTTTACCTTTGTATGTATCCTATCTCATAGTTAGTTTTAAAACTACGTAGTTTAGTTTTGTTTATCTTTAAAAAATAGAAAAACACATTTTTTCTGGGAAAAAAAATTCCTACGATTTTAGCACATAAATAAAACCATAGAAAGTTCCAACCCGAATATAAAATATGTTTTTCCCCCTTTTCACAAATCCAAGGTTAAATTACATTTTCCCTTTGGCTATTCTTGGGTTCAGGTTAGAGGTTGAAATGTAAAATTAAAAAAGGAAAAAAATAAAACCGAAGTGGTCTGTCACATCATATGATTAGATTTTTACCATAAAAGTATATAATTACCATCAACAAATCCATATTTGAAAAAAGAAAAACAAAGGGAAAAAAAATACAGACCCATAAAAAATTACATTACGTAGTTTTCCAAAAGTAATAAATTTCATTTGCAATAAACACTCATGTTGTTAATTTTAGAGACATTAATTAGGATTGAAAAAAGTGAGATGTCTGAATATTAAGACTATTTTCAACATTTTTCTCTAGAATTAAAGCGAAAGTAATGCTTAACCTTAAACTAACAAGTAAACCAAGAAAAGAAATGATCTAAATACAAATAAAATTCTGATAATTAGTCATATCAACATTTTGCTTTTTGAGTTGGGTATTTATGAAATTTTTGGGGTAATTAAGGTTTAAACCTTTGCAACAACTTTTGTGGCCCAAATTTAAGATTATAGCGTCGGATTAATGAGTTTTAACTATAAAAATTATAAAAAAAAAACGATAAAATAGATTTTGTGTCCTTTAGATTTGAAAATAAATATCTAATTGATTTTAAGTTTCAAAAAGTGTAAGTTTTGTCCCAAACCTTTAAAAAAGTTTTTATATATTTTAAAATATGTCACCTATTTTTCAAATTTTTAAATATAGCAAAATTTTCATTTAAATAAGTAGTATATCAGATAGTCATATCTCTAATATATTAGATATATATCATATATATAGTACACAAACACTCATAATATATTAGATGTATATCATATACATATTGCACAAACTCTCATATCAGTAGTATATCAGATGTATATTACATACATACATCATTAATAAAATATATTACAGAAATATTACAGATGTATATTATTTGGATAAAATTGTCATTTCAAAATTGGACCTCCGTTTTTTTTTTTTTAAATTCTATTTAAACAAGCTAAATGTAGTTGCTATTTTCTAATTTTACTAAATATTTTTGTCATATTTGCAACTGTCCCATTTTTTTCTCTTCTCCTCCCGTTCCTTTCCTCCGTCTTCTTCTTTTCCAATTCTCGGACGACCACTTACACATGGTAAGGTAGAGTGGATCGTACCGTTCAGATCTTGGTTTCCATTTCCTCAAAATAAACGAACCTTAAAAGGTTCACAAGAAGCAAAATAGAAATAGAAATATTATCATAGAATTTGGAGAGAGTTTGTTTAATTCCCACATTGTGGGCAAGAAGAAAATGGAATAATGATAGTATATTAAAAAAGGGTATAGCTTTAGGGTATTGTAGTATAGGATAGGATAATGTAGAAGTAGAAGTAGGTTGAATGTGATTAGATTAGATTAGGTTTTGATGCATCCATCCCGGTTTTGTCGCTGAAATCAGATCCCCAGTTCCCATCATTCCTCTCCAATAACCACACACGAAAACTCCCACAAAATTACCCCAAATTACCCCATCAGCATCCCACTTTTTATTTATAACAACAAATTCCTCAACTTCCATTCCAAATTCCAAAACCCCAAATTCCACAGCTCTCTCTCTTTCTTTCTCTAACTCCATGGATGCCCATCGCAGCCCTGTTTTAACTTGGGCTTATTTCTTGCAAGCCAAGGTCAGTTTTTGCTCAATTCTTGCTCAATTTTTGTGGGTTTTGTTTCTGATGGTTTGTTTTTGGCAGAACATTGACGAATTGAGGCATTCTCTTCTGTGCACCACTGTGGAGCTGGAGCAGACCAGAATTGCGGTTCAGGAGGAGCTGAAGAAGAGGGACGACCAGATTTCACATCTCAAAGATCTGCTTACTCAAGCCATTAGAGAACGCGACGAAGCCAACCAAAAATCTGAAAAACTTCTCCAAAAACTCTTATTTCCTGCTCCTGCTCCTCCTGTCGTCTCTGCAATTTCCACCATTGAAGACGAACCCAGAAGGGGAATCGACTTCTCCTCCTCCGATTGCGAAGAGAGCATCGTCTCCTCTCCGATTCCGGCCGAGATCGCCGCCGACTGGCTCCCGGAAAAGCCACTTCCGGAGAAGGGTAGCCTCTTACAGGCCGTCGTCAAGGCCGGCCCGCTTCTGCAGACCCTCCTCCTCGCCGGACCGCTCCCCCAATGGAGACACCCGCCGCCGCCGCTGGAATCGTTCCAGTTGCCGCCGATTGCAATCCCCCTTCCGCCGCCGCCGCCGCCGCAAGCCCTGCCGTCAACTAATTGTGGGATAGTGAACAAGAAAAGGGCGTGCGAGGAATTGGAGTCTCCAACAGCAACCAAATTGCAGAGGCTTCTGTTCCACTAACTTCCAACAAAACCCAATTGAATTTAATTAAACACCACTGATATAGATCTTGTATAGAAGTTAAATGTTCTTCAAGTTCTAATTAAGAGATAGAGTAAAAGCTTGATCTTGAGGGGGTTTTTTCTTTTTTTTTTCCTTTTTTGGGGGGTCCATGATATATGTGAAATGGGCATTTTATTTTTCTGAAGAATTTGGTGTGATTATAGTGAGTTTTAGAGTGATAGAGTGAGGAATGAGGATTAAAGTTATGTGGGTGTGGAGAGTAGTTAGGGGGGTGGGGAAAGTGTATGGTCCTACATATCAGAATCAGGATCTTCTGCCTGCTGTTGTGCTTGTATATCAAAAAAGAAATTTAGAGGAGGTTTGTTTTGTCTTAATTTAAAATCTCTCCCTCTATTGTTTTTTTTTTATTATTAACCAAAAGAAAAAGAGTATATCTGTCCTATAAATAATTATGGTTTTTAAATTATTTGTCAAGTTTCTTTTTTAGCCAATGCCCTACTTTGATGGCAGTCTAACTTCTATTCATGTTAAACTCTTCTTCCCACTGCGATCCTACTTGTTAAGAACAATTATGTTTTAAGTAGCATAATATTGTCCGTTTTGGACATAATTCTCACAATTTTATTTTTTATTTCATCAAAAAAAGTTTCATGCTAATAGAGATAGTTGTCTCCATCTATATACTCATGATGATCTCATTCCCAACCATATTATTTATAGCGTTTATAGATCTTTAGATAAAACGTTAATTAGCTTCTTTGACATTTAAGAGTTTTTTTAGTAAGGGATGAAAAGTTCCTCAATACTACAAAAATTTCACCTTTTTTCTTCTTTGCAAAGTATAAATTTTGGATTCCCAACATATTTCTTTTAGCTTTCAAACTTATGGGTTCGCAATAAATTTAAAATATAATATTTAGGGGTACATGGCGTGAAGTTAAAGGAGGGGGTTTCCCTCTTGAGAATGGGTTGTGTGAATTTTTTGTGAAGCAGCCAATCTCGAATCTCATCATGGTGAGTTCGACCATGACTTTTGGAAGTGTAAACACTTGTAAAAATACTTTAAAAAAAAAGAAAAAAAATCAAAATCAGGTTAAATAATCGAAAGTAATTCGAAAAATTCTAAAAAAACTTAATAAGTGAAGCGCTTTAACTAAAAAAAAAAGGGAAAGAAATTACATATTTTGCATCTTAAACTATTAGATATTTGTACAGTTTTATGGTGAAAGATTTAAAAATAGAAATTAGCGTAAATTACAATATTTTGGGGTTTGGAGTCCAATTTCACAATAATGAAATAATTAAACAAAGCTATGTTATTCCAATTAAAACGTTATATATATATATATATATATATATATATATATATTTATTTTTTGAGGCATAAAACATTATAAATTGTTGAATGGAAACATTAATTATTCTCAATTTTTTTCGAAAAAAATTATTCTTCATGTATTATTAACTTTGATTTTGATGTTACATATTACTACTATTCCTAAATTTAAAGGCTTTAAACCATTAATTAGTACTAAATTAAGTCATTTTAAAGATTGGCATTCTTAGTCAAGCTGAACATAACCCAGTGCTAATTGGTACCTATATCTTCCGTTGAATTCGGAGGTTTAAACCCTTGAAAGTTCAAATCTTCTTACTCCCAATTTGTTATAATAAAAAATATTTAACAAAAAATTACAAAATGTATTTCAAATCTGTATTTTATTTGGGGAAAATTTTCTTGTACTACGGGAATTATATGGATACAATATTAAGAAATTATTTATAAAGGCAAAAATACAGTATGAATAAAGGGAGTATGATACTCGTGTAGTACTGAAATCTTTTCCGTTAATTGGGTTCATATTGATTTCAAATCTACAATTCGACGGTCACTAGGGACACGACAACATTGTGGTGTTAATCTCCCAATAGATATCCGATAGTTTAAAAGTTTAAATTTAATTCCTATAATTTGAGTTTAATTTCAGTTTGATTTTTATAGTTTTAAAAGTTTTATTTTGATCTTTATGTTCGATTATCACATAATCATCCCCTAAACTCTTTGTTATCCACTTGAAAAATCCATATTTTTCCTTCCATATTTTACTGAATCCTAAACCCCAATATGGTCAAATAACATAGCTAGTCCAATAGAAAACGACAGTGCCTTTGTTACCATGTTAAGAAAAAAAATGTTGACCTAATTAGTTATTTTAAATTACATAAATCAATATATCACAAAAAATTTGTGTAATTTAAATAAACTATAAAAAAAAAAATTGAAATAAAAACCTGAATATAGCTCAATGAGTAAAGACATATATATCTAACTAGAAARTCGTAAATTCGAATCTCTCTATCCTATATGTTGTATTAAAAAGGAAAATTGAAATAAGTTGAAAATATGAAGAGTAAATTAAAAATTTTATAACTATATAGTGACCAAATTTGTAATTTACCTTGGAATGTTAGGGGTGAAGCATAATTTGGTTGTGGTGAGGTTTCGGCCGGAGTCCACACGGCAGAGAGGTGGCCAAAAGCTGGCTTTATTAATTAATTTATTTACGAGTCTATTTGACTATAATTTTTTTTCTCTGAAAAATTTTAATAAGTTGAAATAAATATACATGTGAATGAATAATGATTGGTTTATTTTGGAGGGAGACGTGTTCGGAAATCTTGAAACTGCCCCGTTTCCGCGGGGAATGCTTCCTCTAAACCCTCCAACTTTTTTTTGCCCAAATTTTATACTATAAAAAGTTGGTCAATTGCCCTACAACCTAAAGTTTTCTTCTTAATGGAAGTAAGATTTGTGACATGTCAATATCATCTTATTTGAGATTGACTTTCTTGATGGAGAGATCTCTAATGGCCCATTTGTTTTCATGATTAAGATGGATTTGGGCTCATTGCTAATGTGAGATTGCGTTTTAGGAGGCTGATAGTGTTGAAATTTGATCTCTTTACACAGATACTTTTTGAGTTCGACATTTGTGTTGATGCAAGATTTGGTGGGGGCTTGTACGTTGAATGCTCCGACGAACACAACTGATCACACAAGAGATGTGGATAAAAATGTAGTGCTAAGTCCAACACACTCGGATGCCTAAATCAGAAAGAGAGAGTTTAGTTAAGAATAACAAAAAGTAGGGTGGTAAAACATACCTCAAGCCTCAAGTCTTTCCCTCAAGTTGGGTCGAGTGAGGCTGCCTCAATCGAGTCTGGTTGGTTAGACTTAATCAGGTTAGGTATTGTTTGGTGATAGCGCACTATGTGAGCTAATATTTTCAAGAGAATTATAATTGGATTATTTGTAGTCATTCTGTTATTGATGATTGAAAAATTGATGCACATTAGACATATTTTGCAGTAATGAATTATTGGAAGAAAACGAGATGTAATTGGATCAAATGAGAAAAATAAGAGTAATAGTGACTGAAGAGGAATACACAACAAGGATTTGATCCCATGACCAAGCTGAATATAGCATTGACACGCTGTCTATAGCGTCTCCACTCTACGAACTTAAAGCATCCTCGCATAAAACTCGTTGTGGCATCTCAATCCTGTTTATAGTATCTCAATCCTATGTAGAGTTTGAATGCTATTTAGAGTGTCTCAACTATGTGGCCTATAGCATCTCAACTCGATTTACAACGTCTCAATTTTCTTATAATAAGAATTGTTTGTTTGCGCTGTTGGGGAGGAATTTTAGAGAGGTAATTAGGAAGTTTGCAATTTTGGTCAATTTGGAGAGCAAAGAGATCATTAGAGAGTAGAGGAAAGAGATTTTCAAGACTCAGGATCATGGAGATCGCTTCAGGGACGAACGATTAATAATGTCGAACTTAGTTTTTCTCCCTTTCCTTGCATATTGAAAATTTGTTATGAAATTTACATGAAAGTTTGTTGTTTTACTTTGAATAGGAGTAGATAAATTTCTTGTCTTAGGAAATGATGTAGCCACTGACTTTAAAGATTAATTATTGCTTAGTTCTCCTGATGGATTGATTTTAAATGTTCTATTTTGTGTTTCTCCATACTTCATGTCTTTAATCTAGTGATGTGGTTTAGAATTAGAACTGGGATGCTTGACTAAATAAAGATGGTTAAGATCGAGATATTTATAGAAGTTTTTTAGAAGTTTTTTAGAGGTCATTAAAAGCCTTGTTTCATTTAGTTTTGAGTAATTTAAGTAATTGGTTTGTGGATTAAATAGGTGAAATCAATTCCGTGGGACCTTTCTTCATATTGATTTTTAGTATGTTATTATTTGCTTGGATTTAGACCTTCATTCGGATTTCAATCTCTAAATAAAATTTAGTGATTCTATATATAGTACTCGAGTAAGCTAGAAACTTAATCTAGAGGAGATGGTACTCGATATCCACTTACCATTTTTACTTGCAGTGTAGCAATATTCTTTGCTACATTTGGTCAGGTGGTTTGACTTTGGTCGAGTCAAGTGTCATCTAGGTCGAGTGTAGGGATGTTTACAGGTTGGGTTAGGTCAGGTTTGGGAAGTTTTTTGGGCCAATTCTAAATTTTGAATTCATCAAATTAGGGAGCCAAGGGAACCAAACACAATAGCAACCCAACCCAACTAAAAAATTTCAGGTTAAGTCAAGTTGAGTAACCGGGTTGAGAGAGGTAAGAGAAAGTGAGATTGAGAAAGACCGAGGTCAGAGTTCAAAGAGATGAGAATCATGAGAGGTGACAACGTGAGATCGATGAGAGATGTGAGGCGATGAAATCGTGAGAGGAGAGGAGGAGAAGAGGCAAGAATCTAAATCGGAACGGCGCAAATCAGTGGAAGAAAACAAGAGAAAATGCGTATAGTTTCTTTTGATTTCGTCATTTTTTCAAATAATTCCATTTTCCACTTTAACCCATTTCCCCAAATATTTTTTTTCTTCTTAAAAATGGAGGTTGGACCAGTGGAAATCAGAATCATCAAAGTTCATGGCCTCAAAGAGGTCAATCTCTTTTCCAAAATGGATGTATATATATGATGTTGTTTCCATCTCTGAACAACCCCAAAGCTGAATGAGACGCTGCACCAATATCGGAGCAGTATTAGATGCGTGAGGGAAAGTTGATGTTGATGGACAGAGCGCATCTCAATGGTGGATCTGGGGTTGCAACGGAGGGGGAAGGGGAGAGACGAGGGGGAGGGAAGTGGGAGGCAGGAAACCCTAACTTATATATATATATATATAAACCGACCAAAATTTTCTTTAACCGACAAACTATATCGAATTTTCGAATCTTAAAAAATTCAACCCAACCTAACCCAAAAATTTTTTTAAACCCAAGTCAACCCTTAGGGTTTGGGTTGCTCGAGTCACTGGGTATTTTTAACGTCCCTAGTTAGGTGGTCTGGATCGACCGATTTGACTTAGACGAGTCACCCCATATTGCTTCCTTAGTCTCACTTTAGGTGAACTAGTATGGTCGTAATTTCACCCATAATAAACTAGAGAGTGGATGACTGAATTATTGACCTTTAGAATGGGTTATATACATGTGCCTTATCCATTGACTATTGAACTATGCTCGAATAAGCAATTTAATAATCTTTTTGTAATCAGGTAAAATATATGGTAAGTTCTGTTGGAATTTTGAATAAAATTATTTTTGTTAAAAAATGAAGAATCACAACTTTTCATGAACGGGTGTGTATTTTATAAAGGTTATGTCCTTTTATCAAAATACATAACCTTACATGAAAAAATATGACTATTTGAATGGCCACAAATAGTCTATAAATACTTGGTTTTTCTCAGTTTTGGAAGACATAAAAATTATCTGTCAAAATTCTCTCTTTTTCCTCCGAGTACTTAAATACTGTGAGTTCGTTGAGTCCTGTGTGAAGTGCTGCATTCACAGGTTGGTATATCCGTCCTATCGTAGGAGAGAATTGTTCATGAAACCTTGAGTACCGTCGAGGGAACAAAATTTTCTTAAGGAAACGACGCTACGTTGGGTTCGGATTTTTAATTTTGTGTTTCCTTGAGTTTTCTATGCGTATTTCTCCAACAAATTCAAACATCAGCCTTTTTAAATATAATAATAAAAAAATTCTTGAACGGATATACATAAAATAAGATATTCTTTTAAAATATAACTGTTTCTTTATCTAAATTCATTAATTTCATACCAATTGTCAAATTTACCTAAAATTAAACTTGAAATTAAGATAAAATTAAATAAAGCTAAAGGTGACAATAATTAAAACAATGCTGAGACATAAACCTTGTTAAATTTGAAATAAAATTCACATTTTAGTTGTTCTTAAAAGTATTGATCAAGACTCGAGGGGGCTATAATTGGAATAGATTTCTCTTTTGATTACCTACAATTTTTTATATTACTATTACCTACCATTATTATTCAAATAAGAACCATAGGAAAACCATGAAATTACAAGGAGAATGTTAGAGGTAAATAATTGGCAACCATGTGTCAGTAGAGTTAAAAGATCGCATATTCATAAAAGAAAGGACTTTACATAGGTTTATAATAGACATGAACTACTCTTCTCATTGTTAATTGGTTTTGAGATGGAACCCTATGAATATTAATAAGTAGGTCACAATGATGATGACCAGTAATATCCATAATGGCTGACAAAGAAGAGAGGGATTAAAAAGATGAAGGCATGCTATAGAAAGCCATCTAGTCGAGAGTGAAGCATCGCAGCGCTATCACGATTTTTTCCTTGAGGTTTCGTGTGTTGTGGTACAAATTAACAGAGGTGTGGCAACTGTGGCAATGTTTTGGTTGAGCAACATAAGCAGATTGAAATCTCAGGGTTGTAGTGCATCCTCGACAATTGTTCTCGAGTCTATTGATGATGTTTTTTTTTCATTCCTATATTCCTAGGATCATATTGTCGTTGTTCCTAGAAGCTAGGTGGTTTTGGTTGAGGCCTCTAGAGTAAGAAATATTGTATGTCCATTGTAGCAATCCTATTATAGTAGAACGTGCTTGTCGCGAAAGACTGGACGTAGCCCTCGCTTGGGTGATCAGCCAATATAAATTCTATGTGTCGTTTACTGTGCTGTCCCTATATTTTCTCAATTGTGTGGTTGAATTTAGCATTTTCACTCAATAACTATGCAAGGGGAAATGATTCTTGGTAAGTATTTTTCCCAACAGCTGGTTCATTTTTCCAGATACATGAAACTATCATCTCTCTGAGAATATATCAAATTTGTAATGACTTAAGCGTTGGAGCCTTTTACTCTCTCCGTGCGGGTTCTTCATATTTTCGTGACTAGTTGAGTCCGAACTTCGTGGGTTTGGTTATTTTTCATGATCAAATAGAGAACACAGAGAAGAGGTATTGAAAAAAAGAACATAGAGCAAATATGAGATTTCTAAGTTGTTTATTCTCAGATTTCATAAGCATTATTTATAGAATTACAAACTTGCTGCACGTCCACAACTCATGTGAATGCAAGTGCAAGTGCACATTATATTCTAGCCAATTATAATATAAACAAGGTCGAAATCCACATGGACGATGTATTAAACCTTAAGCATACGTTAAGAATACCAAAAATGCAAAATAAAATAATATCAAGTGTTGTTATCACTTAATCGAAATAGAGTTAACATAAAATTGCAACAAGGACTTCAAGAGAGAGAAACGCTGCTTAAGAAGATGCTGGGTAGAAAAAAGCTTCAGCACAACGAGTAAAAGGATAACAGATATGAGATTAAGACGGAAGAGATTCCTATATGCTCCACTCACTGATAGAGATACTCTAGCATAAAAGTGTTTGCCAAAACTTTTCGAGCTTGCTTACATTAATTAAGTTTATTCTACAAGCAATTCTCATCATGGAAATCAGTGGCAATCAATCTGAAAACTAGCTGTTCCCTAAAAAATAAAACTATTTCTATGGAAGGCAGCACATAATCATCTTCCAACGGCAGATTCTGCAGTCCAGAGGTTTAGATTTGTTAACTATTTGTTCCCTCCGCTATTCCAAGCCAGAAAGTATCTTCCATGCGCTTTTTCAGTGCAAGTGAGCTCGAAAGTTTTGGCAGACACTTTTCCACTCTCTACCTTAGTACCCTACATATTCAAATCCAAGCTTTTTTGATTTTTATGTTGATGTGATCAATAAAATTAACCCAGATGAGAAGGATTTAGCCGCGGTTACCTGTTGGGCAATTTGGTGCGATCAAAATTCAACGGTTCATGGAAAGCAAATTTCTTTCCCTGAAACAAAATGCAAGTGGATTAGATCTTATATTCAAAGTTACTCGCATGCTAAGAATGTCATTTCCCCACCAGTGCCAGATTTGGGACCCTCCGTGTGAAGGCCATTTGAAGCTCAATACTGATGCTTCATGTAGACCTTCTTCTTCGGGTCTGGGGTTTTTTTTGCTCAGGTCTGATGGCGTTTTGGTAGCGGCCAAATCTGTCTTCGTTCCTCATTCCCTTCCACCACACTGCTTGCTGAAATTAAAGGAATTTTGGAAGGTCTGCGGTTTGCTCGATCTATGAATTGCAATCATCTTGAAGTTGAATCCGACTCCCTCCTGACAATTCGGTTGCTTAAAGATTAAATTTATACCTGAGGTGATGAACTGAACCTGTTGATGGAAGTGTGATAGGTATCTCTATCCTTCGAGTCGATTTCTTTCGCCCATGTCGCTCGAATATGTAACAAACCTGCTCATCTTTTCGCAAAAATGGGGGTTTTGTCAGCCACCTCATTTTGGTCTTCTAACTTCCCTTGATGGCTTTTGGATTGTGTAAAGGGAGATTTCCCTTCAATTATTGCCTAAGTGGCTTAATTTAATGCAATAACTTTTCAAAAAAAAAAAAAGAAAATAAATCTCCGTACAAAATTAATTGTGATTTAATAAGGTACAAAATCAACCCATAAATTACTCAACCAAAACTTTAAGATCAACTGTGCAATGTCATTTTTTGTTTAGACCCTATTGATTTTGTACCAATGATATGTTTTATAATTTATTTGACCAATATTAACTTTTTTTCAACAAATTTTCAAACAAAAACCCATCAGTGGGTAAACATTACAACAACTTTTACAAGTTTATGGCCGAAGACGATTCTATCCGAGGTGCCATTTGATTAAATTAAAAGTTTAGGATAAAAATTGGTACACCTAAATCAAATTGAGGTAAAATCTAATATTTCACCTAGAACTTAAAATGTTTGTAGTGTGGGTGCAAATTTTAAGTGAGATTTGTCCTATTCTTCTTTTGTAAAATAATTTATTTTGCAAACATTTGTGTGCTCAGATGTTACTAATTTGTGCGTTTAGCTGTGAGCTGAGCGACTAGAGAAAAACTATACGTATAACTCATTGACAAAGGATGACAGAGAACTTAGGTTATGATAATGTGGTTTCTTATTCCTGATGAAGGTCGTTTTAAGATATTTAAAATCGTCAGGATTCTGCTTCTCATTTATTTGATTCCTATAAATTTATTGGAAGAGAAACAATAGATTTTGAACGTGTTGGGGTGAATTTATATCATCTTCGGGTTCACCCGTACTAAAATAAAAAAGATTGTTACTCAAATTGAACTTTCTGAGAAAAGCGATTGGATTGAACCACTTGAGCCAACCCACAAGTCGAAATGACCCAAACTATTGTTGGAGCTACAAAGAGCGCAAACAAAATCCTACATTGATTAGAGGAGATAATGAACCATGATAGGTAGGTGAGTACGAATGTTTTTAGTGAAATCAAAAGTAAAGTTGTACTAAGGATTATATCCAAAGTGGACATTGTGAAGATACTTGGGTACTTGGAGTACCGTTGTCCTTAACATGTAGTATTAGAGTGCCATAGTCAAAAACCTAGAAGAAAAGTAGATCTGTCAAGTCGTGAAGATTGTTAGTTCAGCTCCTCTGATAGGAGAAGGAGGTATATTTGTTCGAGGGGAGGTAAGAGTGTATTTGTAGTAATTGACATCTAATGTTCCCACAATATGATTCGTGTAGCGGTACTCTATCTAGATTTGCTGGATAGAAGCAAACTATTGTTGTTGGTGGGGAGTCAGAGATCATGCTATGATCTCATGTCGGAGAATGAACTATTCGAGACTGAATATAAATAGCACTTGATTCAAAAAGTGAATCATTGGATTTTCAAGGAGTTGCAAAGAATGTAAACAAAGTCTCTCGACCCGCTACCAATTCCTGTATCAACAAAACAAGTGTTAACTATTGGGTAAATACATGAGTGGAATAACATATATGAAAATGTTACCATTTTAATACGCATTTTAGATGATTATGAAGGACATACAGATTTTTAAACTTGTATCCAATTGTAGCAGTCACATTGAACAGTAAAGGGAAAAAAAAAATTTGATGGTAACAAGTCTAACTTGGAAACGGAATCTTACCACCAAAAAAAAAAACAGTCGCAAAATGGAAATGATTGGTTCCCCAGTTGATTTCTCCCTTCCACACACACACACAAGTGCAAGTGTTTACCAAGAAATTCAAGAGTCTCTTGGTTAGATTCCAACTTTGCAATACCAATAATTATTTTAGGATCCATTTGATATTAATTATATTTTTCATTTCTTTGAAATATTCTCCAAACGGTATATGAATTTTAGAAACAATCAAAACTTTTTTTATTATTCTTGACTTTTTTAATTATAAACAAGGAACGAGGACATTACCGGACCAATTTAATGACTTTCAAATTCAATGATGAATTTTTTTTTTTCGAATATTGTCCTTTCGTGTTGTTATTTTATTTTTAGGGGGGGTAAGGACTCTATGACTAAGATTGAATAAGTACTACGAATTAAATAAGTTGAAAAGAAAACAATTTTTAACTATAACATACTACAAAAGGTCAAACGTCTACTACATTTGAAACAAATAAAAGTTGTGACATTTTTTAAATACATATTTTTTTAACATATTAAATTTATATTATAAAGTGGAAGTTCTAAAAATTTGTATTACAACCGTTAAAATTCTCAATTATCAATCAATAAGGGTTATACAATTCTCCTCGATCACGATTAAAGGCAAATATAAAATGTTTATTAATTTTATAAAGGAGTGACTAGAAAATTTTTCATTTAAAAATGATGCTCAGGCTTTCTATTAAATTTAATTGTATATGCTAGTAAATATATATATATATATATATTTACTATGTAGACTGTAGTTTATGATGAGAAGACTATGGATGAAGGGTTCAAATGAGCTATTGATAAAACTATGCACTCTCACCAAATTTAAAATAAAATGATTTAAAAGTTCAGAAATTACAATTTTTTTAGTACAACAATTTAAATATAGGGATCCAACCTTTAACCTCGAAGAAAGAAATATATACTAATTATCGTTGAGCTGCTCGTATTGGTGAAAGAACTCATTTTAAAGAAAGCCCAACAATTACGTCTTTTGGGCCTTTGGTGAGCCTCTTCCACATTTGTGAAAAAGCCCAACAATTATGTACGGTTAGCCAAATACTAACTCATTTAACCGAAAACCAACAAAGAAAAATGAAAAGCTCCAGCCGAAGAATGCAAATATTGTATTAGCATTTTCATCCCAAGTATAACAATTAAATTACTATTATCTTTTTTGTCCTTTTTTTTCTCTGTCTTTCGTTTTTCTTTAGTTTATTTGTTATATTGAAATTACTATACTAAGTTTACTTAAAATTAGGCTAAGAAAGTAACGTAGGTCGATTCGTTTGGGTCAAATCACCCGATCAGTGTCGGACCACCTGTCCAACCAAATTCCAACTAACGAAATCTGATGGAGCCAGTCCACTCGAATAAATCCTTAGAGAGATGCTTGGAGTGCGATGTTCGTTTTAAAACTCTACTTTTTACTGTTTTTAAACAAAATTTTTGTTTGACTTAGAGATGTTGGGCTTAGCACCACACCACTTTACTGATCTATTATGTATACCTAGCATACCCAAATGCTGCATCAATATTGTCCTATGTTATCTTTTATTTACTTTAATCAAACAATTTTTTTCACACATTTAATGTTGTATTGAATATAATATAATTACACCTTGTGGTTAAGGTTGCTAAGCTGGTTTACAAATTCCAAATACCATTTTTGTTTTGATATTTTTTCCGAAGTTTCATAATCTTTTCCCTTCTATTAAAATGTATGAAAATGAAATAATTGAATTGTATATTAAGATAAAGTATTCCCACTCTCAAACGAAACAACCCACGAAAATCATCTACATCTTCACTTCAACTAAATCCTAAATCTAACAAATTAAGGATTGAAATTTAAACAAAAATTAACTATTTAATTAATAATCTACCATTAATTATCTCTCTCAGAACTAAATCGTTAGAGATGAGTTGGCCCAATTTAGGTCCAAAGAGTGATTTAAGCTTGTGGCCTGCAGGAATGAATCGACCTAATGACCAAATTGATGAATAAATTTCTCCACTTATCAAGAAAAGTTAAATCATTAGAGAAATGAGAAAAATAAATTGGAAAAATACATTTTTGTCCCTAAACATTGAAGTATGTATTTATTTTAAAATGAACACTTTTAAGTCTCTGAGATTTGAAAAATAGTTTTAAATGATCATTTGATCGTTAGTTTGTTGGATTTGCAAGTGAATGCAAACAAAGTCTCACATTGACTAGGAAAGGAACTGATCCCAAATATATAAGAGAGGAGAATTATCTCCGCTGACATATGAGACCTTTTGGATGAAACCAAAACCAAAGCTCACAAGCTCAACCTTAGGGAAACACTTAAATTGCATCAAGTCAACTTGTAGGGCTTTCTTGATATCAAGTACAAAAGCTCACCAAATGAGGAACCTAGTTTACTAGAGGCGCCGAGCTAAGTAAAACCTTTTGACTAGCATCATTTTGTTTACGATCCAAACCTAAAATTTGGCATTCACATATATTATAATTTGATAAATCAAGTAATATTACAAATATTATTTATTTTTTCAAAATTATAAATAACACGGACAACCATTTTTTATGAGTACAACAATCGAGACAGGAGATTCGACCTCGTGACCTCTTGATCAAAGACATATATCATCGTTGAGTTAAATTCGTGTTGCCTGTACATGATCTCACTTTCACAACGATTTTGTAAACATTACCTACAAAAATACTATAAATTAATCCGGAGAAATGAAAAGCAATTCAATTTGCAACAAATACAAACTCAAGTAGCTGGATCAATTTTGTTTTTTAATTTTGGCAAAAACCAAATGAAATCAAACTTAAATTGTTCACGTTTTGAAATTCATATAAAATAACAAAAAGCATTGAAATTTCTTTCACATTCGAATTGATTTGCTTTAGTAAGAAAAATGTGGAACTATATATCTATATATTTTTTAATATAATATGCGTGGGATGGAGATTGGTCACAATATTTGGAGATAGACGTCTAAACCAATTGAGTTATATTTAATTTGACAAAAATTATATATATAGACTGTGAAAGTATCTCAATTCTAAAGTTATTAAGAATATTTTGATAAGTGAAAATAAATTTCTTGTAATCTAAAACAAAACAACAAAAAGGCTCATTGAATAACTTTCGAACTAAAAAACTACTTTCCATATTGAGATAATAGTATTTTGATTTTATTACATAAAAAAAATTATTCATGTACCACATACTAACAAGTGTATGATAGGAAGTTAAAGTGG